ATATAATATAATATAATATAATATAATATATAAACATCCACAAAAGCCTGTAACATTCAAGTAACATACCTTTTTATAGGCGTTGGTTCTATTCATGTCGTATTCGCCGTATCCTGTGCAGATATAGTTACCCGGAACTTCGTAGTCATCATATTCTGAAACGTGACATTGTTATTATTGTTTATATTGGACATGTTATTTTCCTCCAGCAACAAAATACTATAGAACATAATTATGTATCCTTTTAGAACCACCCTGTGCTATGATTTAAATATCCCAGCTGACGGAAGGGAATAGAAAACAAAATAGCTTCCCCTCAAGTTAATCGAACTCATGTCTTCAGTGTGTAACAAAGAACAACGTATTACAACGCAGAAGCCAATAGCATATTATTATCGTAATTTTACCTTTTTTTAAAGAAAAATAAGTTTTTAATGTGTTGATAACATGTTCAAAGGATTACAGAACAAAACAAAGAAAGGTCATAATCAGTAATTAGTCTCGTTACACACATTCATTCTTATTTCTTTGTCCCGCTATGGATGTGCGAACACGTCTGAAAGTGTGGGAGACAGAATCTGAAAAACTGGCAGTACACCATGGGTTGACTGATGATTCTAACAACACCATTAACCAAGAACGTCTTTTTTACTTCATAATACAGAACGTGAGTGACAACAAATGTCTACCTCAGACAAGGAAACCATATGGATAAACTGCCGATCCAGTAAGAAGGATTGATCTTTTCCTGAACCCTCAATTTGACACAATGAAATTTCCAAACCTACTTTTGAAAAAAAACCGTTCTTCAAGAGGCACTCTAAAGAAGGAACGGGAATCAAAACTTTGCATTCTTTCTTACATCATAGTCATAGCTCAATCAACACAGGTTCTTTTCATACCCTTTCTGCTCTTCAAGGCATCATCTGTTAGCAGCATCGCCATTGCACCGGCAGCTTCTGTCACTGACCGCTGGTCACCCGCCTGGAAAATCCTAAAGAAGTCATGGTCTGGATTCTCCAGCACTTCTGAGACATAAGTCCGGAGATCCTCGCTGCTGGGGGGCAGTACTCTCACCTCCGCAAATCTGAAGAGTTGGGCAAAGCGGTTAAGTGATAGTTTACAACGAGTCATTAAGACAACCGTCATACTTGCTAGGAACAGAATAGGCTAACATTAGTTTTCAAATATAAATAGAGTCTGAAAAAAAAATACGCAAACAAATTTAAAATAGTACATATACGGGGTATTTAAATTGTATACTGAGGAGAGGACACCTCACTGAGCAATGAAACTGAAAGTGTATTTTTGTTGCTGATAGGAACTGAAAATGGGTAAACTTAAAAGTTACCCTAGCCTCACACGTAATTTGAACATATAAAACGCAACTGGTGACAGGAAAATTGATTTTGTTTCATTTGACCTACACTCTGGCGTTGAAAAAGTATCAATTCGTATTACTGCTTGACATTATTCTTGAACCCCATTCTCCAGCAACTTTGCCTCTGGAGCCGCTTTAACGTAGCAGAGTAGGAGACATGAGTTTACTTGTGCCTGGCGGCTGCATTCAGTGTGTCCCGTACAGACACGTAGAGGTCTTGCACATAGTCACGGTACTGTGGTCCAACAGGAATCGTCACATTGATGGTGATGTCACCCTTGGAAGTGGGATAGGAAGAGATCTCTTTCTCCACCTCACCGTCTCCGAAAACACCTGGAATAATTATTTGTATACAGCTTTTAATTTGTTGGATTATGCTGTCTTATTTTGCTTGTTTTTTTAAACAACATACTATTCGTAACACCCACCATTCCCTGGTGGATCTATCAAGATGGTTTTTTTTAATCGTTTATTGAACAACGAGACAGACGGATATAACCTCTTTCCCAAAAGCAACTGAACCAAGTGAGAAAGAAACATTGAAAACTTAAAAAACCACCCAAGTTTAAAAACTCTCTGCGTTTGGGTCTGAACCATTGTCAGTCTTTTTGCTGAACACCAGTATACCAACTGAACTATTGGCACGCCCATGGCGATCTTGGGACAACAATTGAACATGTGTTTTAAGATTTCAGCTTTTAAAGAGCTAACAAACTCGTCGAGAAAAAAAAAAATCACGAAATTATGTGGTCGATCTCCGGACCACGAAATACGTCTAATTTCAACCAGCAAGAGGATGCAGAGAAAGAGGACGAAAACACATACCAAGTTATATAGATCTATTTATACACACTAATGAAAGTATCCACGACGGCCACTCACTGTGGAGGCTAAAAGTGATTGTGGCACACACACACACACACACACACACACACACACACACACACACACACACAC